CCGCGGATTCCTTCAGTTTGTATGGATTATTTCGCTGAATTCAAATAGATTCTAGTTGTAAGAAATCTGAAAACCAGAATAATCGGCCAGAATAATGCGTGGTATATGCTTTCCCTCGGACTATCAAATTCCTTGACGTTGTCACCGTCACGGTTCGTTGCTGACTGAAATAAAGGTGGAATGAGCAATCTGCTAGTGATACATATGGATAGAGGATAGCATATGCTTCCTTAGACGAAAAATTGTTCAAGTTGAAGTGATTGTCAGCGCTACCATAATGGAGGGCAGGTACTAAAAAGCGCGTGAAAGCGCAGTCGCAGATCATAGGTGCGTGCGCTTCAGCTGCTAGTCATGATTTAGCGTAAAAACAGGTCAGTTTCATTCAGACAGGAAGAGTGTTAACACTTTTTAGTATTACCTCCAAACCACAAGAGGTCTCTGACGACAATTTTATTTCTACATTTCCCCAGTAGATGACATTCGCAGCTGATTTGAATTCTCCCTCGCATTTCAAATGGCGGGCTGATGGCGTGCCTCAGTGGCCGAGTGTGGACTTTGTTTGGAAAGATCAGATATCTGTTAGATACCTACAATTCCCGGCCTTCGTTTCCTTGTCGTCCTTAAAAATTCTTCACGTGCAGAACACTCGAACTGACCGAGCCCATGGCATAAAATCGTAAAAAGGAAAGCTTTGATTCTCTTCGATTAATGTTCGAAAGACGTGGATAGTAAAAAACACTGCCTTCCAAAAATTCACCGCAGAGAAGTATTATCTCTACGTTTCGTATAATTACTGCCGGACGTGATGCATACTCCCAAGTCGTATTCGCGTAATGACTAATGCAATTTCTCCCATTGCAAAAAAATTCATAACTCATCGCGAGCAGGTGCACTTGCGAATGAATGGGTAAGTCTAAATCTCTATAGTTTTTACATTTTCTTTTTAATTCAATATTCCCTGCGACTTGTTAATTCCTCATTTATCCTATCATCATCCATCAATTATCAACAATCTATCCCATCCATTCCATGTGAATAACGATTAAGTG